TCATTGTTGTTTGGCGGGCCGGGCTGGATTCGAACCCACCACCTTAGGTGTATGTGGCTGGCGCCTTAGCCACTTGAGCCACAGGCACCGAGCCTGTATTTTATATTTTATAATTATATATCAATACATAGAGAAATATTTTGTAAGTATTTTATAAAATTTTGTAATGAACATTTTCTAAATAAAGGTACACTTAGGCTGGGCATGGTGGCTCAAACCTGTAATCTTAGCACTCTGGGAGGCCAAAGTGGGCAGATTGCTTGAGCTCAGGAAATCAAGACCAGCCCGAGCTACGGTAAGACCCCTGTCTCTAAAAATAGACAGGCGTTGTGGCAGGCACTTGTAGTCCCACCTACTCGGGAGGCAAGAGAATCACTTGAGCTCAAGAGTTTGAGGTTGCTGTGAGCTATGATGCCATAGCACTCTGCTGAGGGTGACAAAGTGAGACTTTGTCTCAAAAAAAAAAAAAAGAAAGAAAAGGGTATACTTATCTATAATTTTCCATTTTCCCTATGTATGTATGTAAGTATATATGGCGACCTTTGGGACTATTCTTGTGTTCAGGTCCTGCGAAAATGAAATGATGAGGTCAGAAAATTTAAAAGGCTGAGCTGGGATAAGGTTTCATTAATACCATAAGTAACTTGTGGTCCCCAAAATTCCTGGTAATCTGCTTCTCATTGTGTGCAGGAGAAGAAGCAGCCCCCCCCACCATGCATCTGAGCCTGCCCTATATGACCAAACAGGGGACCAATAGCTCCGCTGGGTTTTCCCCAGGAGTGGTAAAGGAACTAGAAACAGCTCAGGTTAGAAAGAGCATCTCAGGAGGATGCCAAACGGGTTTTGGGGGTGGGTTTTTCTAGGTTAACAGTTGTGTCATCTTATTAAAGTTATTTTCATTTACTTGTTAGCAAGAATGTTTGTTAAGAAATGAATCTTAATGTTAACTTTTGAACAAATGAAATGTATTCGACTTTTTGGTTTTATGCAGTAGAATCCTGCTTATCCACGAAATGCAGTTAACACATCAGCTGGACCTGTTTCCCGAATGCAGGGTGACACTTTTATTATTTAAAGATGTGAAAAATGCAGGAGATTTGAGGAAAAAGGCCATGGAAGGCACCATTGATGGTGCACTGATAAATCCAACAGTGGTGAGTACAAAGTGTGAGAATGAATGAGCTATAAGAATATGTTCAGTTTTTGTGAGGTTATAGGTCAGCCTAAAATTCTGTCATCTTCAGGTGAAAATGAGTGTTCAAGTCAGACATGACCAAATGTAAATTTAACAGTGAACAGGGGTATAAGTGCCAGGCTCTACCTAGGAATTAGGAAAGGTCTTGATGTGGCTCTGACAAAATGGCAGATGCCTGGTGATAATTGACAGAGCTGAGATTCGAACCTAGACATCCTTTGCTTGGTTTCCTCATCTATTATATTCAAATAGTAATAATAATATCAATGTCATAGGGTAATTTTGAGGATTAAAGAAAATAATACAGTGTATAGTGACTTTCCCATTAACCCTCAATAAATGTCATTTAAAAATTTTTTACTTGTATAAGTTCCTTGTATCTTTAAAATCCTGTATAAGATTTTCTGACTATCCAAACCCTTGAGATAATAGTTTTGAAAATACAGTCCATAAGAACTGTAATGGAATAAAACAGCTTGATACTAGAGTTTCCATGAGATAGGATATGTATCTTTAGATTCTACATGTGTAATTTTTATTACTTCCTTTGGTAGATTGTCGATCCATTTCAGATACTTGTGGCAGCAAACAAAGCAGTTCACCTCTACAAACTGGGAAAAATGAAGACAAGAACTCTGTCTACTGAAATTATTTTCAACCTTTCCCCAAATAACAATGTAAGGCTGAAGTGACTATTTCTGTTGACCTTGTCATAATAACTTGTATGTATCTTCCCTGGTATTGGGTTGGAAGCTGCATTCCTGCAACCTGGTTGTTGTAATAAACCAGAATAATAGTGAGGAGAGCTTTGGACAGATGGTTGGGGTTTAGCACCGTCTCACTAGGCAGTCAGTTTACATATGATTAAATAGTAGTTTAGCTTAATTAAGTAAGGCTAGCTTTGTCTGTCCTTCTACCATTTAGGTCAGGAAGATTCCTCAAATATTTTAGCTTAAGTTGACAGAAACCTAACTGATAAAATATTAGGCGTGGATATTTTGTGTGTTGGTATGCACAGCTTCCACTCTTCCTATGAACTCCTTGAGAGTAGGGTCTGGGTCTTTCCACATACCAGGAACTTACTGGTGTCAGTACAAGCCCTTAACACATACTCATTCACATACCTAGTGCAAGCAAGTGCTTGTGGTTTGAAATACTCATGGTAGTGCTTCCTCGGTAAAACCTAACTGAGCTAAAGGGAGACATAGCACATGAAAAAATGACTGAAATTTTGTAGGTGAAGTTTTAGTATTAATATATGCTATTAATCATTCAACTAGGTTGAATATCAAGAAAAAAATTAGGAAGCCTATGACATAGTTTAAATTATAGATGATTAAAAAGTTTTTGAATTGCATTTATTTCAGCATGATGGCAGAATTCCCCTTTACCTGGAATAAAACTTACCAGTAATTAGTTTTTCTTTGAAATCATTTGAAATAATTCAAATGGCTCAGTGCCTGTAGCTCAAGAGGCTAAGGTGCCAGCCACATACACCAGAGCTGGTAGGTTCGAATCCAGCCCGGTCCTGCCAAACAACAATGACAATTACAACCAAAAAATAGCCAGGCATTATGGCAGGTGCCTGTAGGCCCAGCTACTTGGGAGGCTAAGACAAGAGAAACGCTTAAGCCCAGGAGTTGAAGGCTGCTGTAAACTGTGATGCCATGGCACTCTACCCGGGGCAACAGCTTGAGGCTCTGTCTCAAAAGGAAAAAGAAAGAAATAATTCAAAAAACTATTGCATTCAATAAACATCTATTGAACTTGTCCCTGTTCCAGTTCTAGGGGTAGAAGAAATAAATGTGTTCCTATGAAGAGGCAGAGAAATAAGACAAAAGTTAAAATACCACAGAACAAATGATATATAGGAATCTCAATTTAAATTTCAAGGAAAACAAAGGAGCCATTCACTCTAGAGGGAAAAGTGTTTGGTGGCATTTGAACTGTGGACCATGAAGCATGCATTCAGCAGCTGAACCATGGGATACAGACCATCAGGGCAGAGAACAAAGTATGAGCACAGGCAGAATGCCATGAATGTGTCAGGATCCCAAGCAGTCCAGACCAGCCAGAGGACAGAAGTGTCTGGCTGGAGGGTCAGTTAGGGCCAGAGAGCTGGAGGGTCAATTAGGGCCAAAGGGAGGGGTGTTTTTGTGCAATTCCGAAAATTCTGGCCTTGATTCCATGGGAACAAGGTTCAGCATTAACTATGGAGTACTTTAGAGGCAATGCTGATAAATGATGGAAAGGGATCATTGAAGGGAGAACTAGGCCAAAAAAAACCTATTAATATATGAAAAGTAATGGTGGCACCTGTGGCTCAAGGAGTAGGGTGCCGGCCCCATATACCAGGAGTGAGGATTCGAGCCCAGCCCTGGCCAAAACTGCAAAAAAAAAAGATACGAAAAGTAAGAACCAGACCCAGAAAGAGGGTAGATCAGGGGATGTTTCAGACACAGGACACACTGGTTAATTGTATTTTGTTGTTTTGTTCTTTTTCTTAGATTTCAGAGGCTTTGAAAAAATTTGGTATCTCAGCCAATGATACCTCAATTCTAATTGCTTACATTGAAGAGGGAGAAAAACAAGTAAATCAAGAATACCTAATATCCCAAGTAGAAGGTCATCGGATTTCTCTGAGAGATCTTCCTGAAATAACAAATATTACAGAAGTTAAAAAGGTTTGTAAGGTTTTTTTTTGTTGTTGCTTGTTTGTTTGTTTTGAGACAGAGTCTTAGTCTGTCGCCCTGGCTAGAGTGCCGTGAAGTCATAGCTCACAGCAACCTCTAACTTCTAGGCTCAAGTGATCCTCCTGCCTCAGCCTCCTGAGTAACTGGGACTATAGGTGCCTGCCACCACACTCACCTAGTTTTTCTATTTTTAGTAGTTAGGGGGCCTCACTCTTGCTCAGGCTGGTCTCAAACTCATGAGTTCAAGCAATCCACTGGCCTCAGCTGGCCAGAGTGCTAGGATTACAGGCATGAGCCACTGCATCCAGCTTATTTATAAGTTTTTAAAATTACTTGAAAAATGCATATGTAAAAAACCGTAAGTTACAGGTTTATGTAAATATAATTATAAACTTAGTTGACAAAGCATTCTCCACTTTAATTAAGAAAGGGATCCTGGGGCCAGGTGCAGTGGCTTATGCTTATCTCAGCACTTTAGAAGGCTTAGGCAGGAGTATCACTTAAACGTGGGAGTTAAAAAGTTGCAGTGAGCTCTGAAGTTGCCAGTGCATTCCACCCTGGACAATGGAGCAAGACTTTCTCTCTTAAAAAAAAAAAAAAAAGCAAGAAAGTGGATACCTTTTTTTTTTTTTTTTTTACCTTTTTGAAACAGCCTCAAGCTATCCACCTGAGTAGAGTGCTATGGCATCACGGCTCACAGCAGCCTCCAACTCCTGGGCTCAAGCGAGTCTTCTGCCTCTGCCTCCCAAGTAGCAGGGACCATAGGCACCCGCCACAATGCCTGGCTATTTTTTGGTTGCAGCCATCGTTGTTTAGCAGGCCTGGGCTGGATTCGAACCCGCCACCTTAGATGTATGTGGCTGGTACCTTAGCCACTTGAGCCATAGGTGCCAAGCCAAAGTGGATACCTTTTAATTGCCAACCTTTGGTGTTGTACATTGAGATGAAAATAAATATAGTTTGAAGTTAATATCTAGATACATACTTTTTAAAAACAAAAACAGAGTCTTACTCTGTCATCCTGAGTAGAGTGCCCTGTCATCACAGTTCACAGCAACCTCAAACTGTTGGGTTTCAGCAATCCTCCCACCTCAGCCTCCCAAGTAACTGGGACTATAGGCGTGTACCACTATGCCTGGCTAGTTTTTCTGTTTTTAGTAGAGATAGGCTCTCACTGTTGCTCAGGCCAGTGTCAAACTCCTAAGCTCAAGCCATCCACCAGCCTTGGCCTTCCACAGTGCTAGGATTACAGGTGGGACTCTAGATGTGTGCTTTTAAAATTGATAATCATGGGCAGTGCCTGTGGCTCAAAGGAATAGGGCACCACATGCCCGAGGTGGTGGGTTCAAACCCAGCCCCAGCCAAAAACTGCAAAAAAAGAAAAAAAAATTGATAATCATTTGGTTTTCATGTTCAGACTTTCACCATAACTGTAGATTAAAGGGAATATTTGACATAATTACTGAATTGCCTTTTATTTTGAATATTTTTATCACATTTGTAATTTGTGATTTTAAACCATTAATCCAATAATCAAATTATTTCACTTACACACACTTCTATATGACAGTGCATGAATATATACCAAGTCATAATTTGTCTTTCATTTTTACAGATATATAAACTTTCATCACAAGAAGAATATATTGGAACATTAATGGATAGTATCATTTGTAGAATGTCAACAAAAGACGTTTTGTGAAATGGAAATAATAACAGGATTAAATTTCAGCATTGAACCATTAATTTTATTTGTATATAGTTAGAATAAAAATTGCAAACACTTCTTGAATGTTTTATATAGTAGGTGCTTGCTTTAGTGGTTTCACATCCATCACTTCCTATCTCTGCCCTCAGTCTGGCTGGTTCAGCACACCTCTTCCAAGCCTCTGGACCCTGGTTCTAAATTTTTTATGTTGAAAAATGTATTTAATTCTCACAGCAAATTTATGAGGTAGAACTGTTATGATCCTCCTTTTATGCATGAGTCAACTAAAAGAGTAAAGAAATATTAATGTGTCCAATGTTATATAGATAGTAAAAATTATTTTTTACGAATGGTTTGATTTCTTTTCTCACTTTATCTTATACTTTAATTTTATCAGTCAAGATTAGGTCAGGAGTGAGCCAACTACTGGGAAGGCCAGATGGTAACTACTACTATTTTCTGCTCTGTGGACTGTATGGTCTCTGCTGAGACCACTGAGCTCTACTGTTGTGGTGTGAAAGCAGCCACAGGCAATACAGAAATGTTGAGCATGGCTGTGTCCTAGTGAAGCTTCATTTACAACAAGTTGGGGGCAGAACTGGACCTGAGGGCCATAGTTTGTGGCTTCTGGGTTAGTTAGGCTCAGTTGGGCTGCAGTTAAGTCCCTAAAGCCAACTGGCTGGGACATGGGGGTATGGGATCTGGCCTATGAGCCTGTCCCTAGGTCCCCAAAGATTAATTTCTTACCATACCTTGAAGCACACTGATTCTGAGTTGCTCACAGGGTGCTCAAGCAGATTTGACATCCGTCTGTCTTGGAGTGTGCCCCATTCTGGTGGCGTAGCTTGGCAGGCACCAGGGAGGGCAGGCAGGCAAGGAGCTCTCAGTTGGCTGCAAGACCCCTAGAGAAAAGGTCTGAGCCCCCTCTGTGGAAGCCTGGTGCCCTGGATGCACTAGTAGAGGGGAAAGCAATTCCTGGGAGCCCTGGCTCAATCCATCTATCAGCAGCCATGGCGGCAGAGGGGAAGGGGATCAAAAGAGTCTGAATGGAGGAAGGCTAACACTCTGCAGCCAGAGTGTTGAGTGGACCCACAGTTCAGAGGGCAGCCCACTCAGAATGTGTAGGCTCTGGGATCATGTAGCTCCCCCTGGGCCCCTTGGGGCTACCATAGTCTGGGCTCAATTTTGGGAAATGTTTGTTGAGAAATATGCAAGACAAAAACTGAGGGGCTGAGAGGCTCAGGAGGATAAAGGTGTGGGGTAAACCCCCACAAAAATTAAATGAAATGTGCTCTTTTAATTCCAGAAACTGAAAGACTTGTGAGTATTATGCGCTTTTGTCGAAGCCCTAAGCAACCTGGGAAAACACAGTGGGGGTATGCAGGCCAGGCATAAAAACTTCCTACAGGGAACCCCGATTGTGCAGTCAAGTCAGCCTGTCAGATAAGGGTTGAAACGGCCCATCTGTGTAGAGGACATGACTCAAAGGTTGATGTGAGTAAAAAGAAAAACTCCATAATGATGTGAGTAAAATACTCCATCATAACTGCAGGGTCTCCAAAACCATAAAAAAACAGTCATGAAGCCAGTTTCTCGGAAATTTAATTGAGTACATAGAAGAGAAAGGTTTTACTCCTCTGTTTATCCTAACCTTTAACTTTAACAATAGAAGTCAAATAATGTATTGTTCTTTTAGGTCTTCCAAGAGGAATAGCCTGAGGCTAGATTAAGATGGTTGTCTTACTTTCCCGGACTTTCTTTCTTTTCTATAGTTTAAAATAAGAAATGAGAATGTTAGAATTATTGATCAATGTGGTATACATGACTAGGTCCCAATAAAGGGGAGTGGAAAATAAAGACATTTTACTACATGCCACCTAAGAGTGTGTAGTCGTTTCTTGCTTTTAAACAATTCTAGGTGCGAGCTTGCACCCACGGCTAAGCCATCCTTCTCTCCTGGTGAGAAAGAACATCACCTAACATAAAAGTGCACAGTGGGTGGAGAAACCACATGGTGCCTTGCTTCTGGCTGGGGTCTACAGCGTTAAGAAGCACTGGCAGCCTCTGCTGCTTCCTGGAGAAACTCCCAGGTCACCGGTGGCAAGAGCTTTGGGCCTTGTAAAGGTAGAAGAGCTTTCCAGCAGCTTGTGAGCCCACTGAGTGCCAGAGATAGAGGAGAGGGAGAAATAAACCTTTTTACCTACCCTTCTCACTGGACTCCAAAACTCTTGGGGTTTCCTCTGCCAATAGCCTGCACCTTGATGTTCTGCTGTGTAACTTCTTCCTGTCAAATCTCTGGTCGGTTAGTTCCGGCAAGTTCTTTTCCTGTCACTGCAGCCACTGCTCCTGGAGTAGTGTCCAGGAAACTTCCTCTCCTCCATCCTAAGGCGTTCTCTCAATGAAAGTTTCAAAAAATAGGTCTTTAGCTCTGTAGGCTGCAAGTCCGAGATCAATGTCCTACAGGATTGGTTTCTGGTAAGGTCTGTAAGCCCCCTTCTCACTGTGTCTGGGCCTGGGACCTGCACCTGTAGACTGAGTCACTCAGGAGGCTAAGGCAGGAGGATCCCTCGAGCGCAGGAATTCAAGATTACAATGAACTATGATTGTACTGTTAGCCCCTAAACTTAATTTAAGTACCATTCTGAGAGTCTGAACATTGTTGTAAAGGCACGAGGAATTTTATTCATTCAGGCTCAGAGCCTGGGCTGCCCTTTAAGAAAAAGCGGGAACAGCCCTTACCTTTTCCCTCTTCTCTCCCATTAGACCATCCCACCCCATTCCCTTATTGGTAGGTAAGCCATGTCTGTCCTAAACTGACAGGTACAGGGTGGTCGTGTTCAGGGTTGATTGGCTCAGAGACGAGTCTTCTTTGTCTCAGGTGAGC